AGCTCATCCTGAGTCTCCAGAAATAGCCTTTCTCCTGCAGGAGGCTGTAGGGCCAGGTAGGATTAGAGCTTTCTGATGAAGGCGTGGCCCAGTTAGGGGCTTGGGACACTTATGTCCCTTTACTGAGTGGCTGAGCTATTTCATAGGGAAAGAAGCATTAGCACAGCACTGAGCCTCGTAGCTGCCCAAATCACTGCCAGGAGTGGCTTTTGACTACCATTTTACCCAGCTCCAAGTGCAGAGAAACTTAAAGAGGGGATTCATCCAGCTGAGAGGAGTGGGCATCACCTCCAGAGTGCAATCTGTGCCACTCCGGCTCCGCATCAGGGTTTGAGGAGCTGTTTCTCACCCTTTTCCTTTCACAGCCAAAACTGGCTGTATATCCCACTGTTTGGGCTGCAAAGAGTTGTACTGTGAGGCCTGTGTCCACTTCTAAGCTGCTGGCAAGGCTTACAGCAGCCTCATGGCTTCACTGCTGCCTCCCAAGGGCATGTAGGTAGCAGAGAACAGCCACATCAAGGGGATGTCAGGCTGAGCAGTTTGGTTGGGCCGCTTGAGTGATGAGGCAAGGGGAGATCCCCACAAAGCAAATACAGGGGTAGGCAGAGGCCCCTTGGTTTTGACCTTGACATCCCCATGGGGTAGACCTTGAGGGGTCTGGAAGACACAGCATCTGTGGGAGGATGCTTTGCCCTCCCTCATGTCCTGGCTGATCTCCTTTCAGAAAACTTGCTGGGACCCAGGCACAAACCTACCTCTTTCTCATAGCACAAGCTGACCCACCCCACACTCACAAGGGAATTGAAGGGCTGCAATTGCTTTTCAGGTTTTTATTCAAGCTATTTTTTGAGGATGCCCCAGGGCTGGGCAGGAAAGCTGGACCACATATACTGTGGTCTGTGGCAGTGAGGCAGCCCAAAGATCCCTGCCTGTGCCAGCTAGCAAAGCTGCGTAGATTGCCCCAGGCCAAGACCAAATCCAGACAGTTTGTCCCCAGAAGAGCACACAAATCATGGCTCTGCCTACCACGCTTGCTTTGGGTCTTCTGTCTTTTGCCAGCAGCTGCTCACCTCCCTTGAAACAGCAACATGCCATGGGAGGGAGAGCTGATGGAAGCAGTTTGCACAACCACATCACACCTCAGGAGTCAGTTCTGCCCAGCTCAGTCCTTTAGGCTTGAGGAAAATCATCCAGCAACTACAAAACACTAGGACAAAAACACCCTCTGACAGCTCAAGCTTTGCTATTGGCTTCCATTACAGTTCAGGGCAGAATCATAGAATGGTTTGAGTTGGAAAGGACCTTAAAGCTCCTCCAGTTCCAGCCCCCTGGTTGGAAGGTGTGTCCTTCCAGGCAGGGACACCTCCCACTAGACCATGGATAGCATCAGTGCCTGACACACAACCCAGCTAGGAGTTCAGATATAAGAGGTAGTTTGCAACCTTAGCTCTCCTCCCTACCTGCCGTTGCACCCATCTGTACATACACATGGCACACATTGCATTTCCAGTCCCATTTTCCCTCCCTCTCAGAACCAGCCAGTCCAGCTGAGAGGCACACAGAATGAAGCCAAGCAATACGTAACAGATGTAGTATATTTTTCCTGCCTTTTATGTTTTGTCTTCCAAGTCTATCAATCTGCTTTGCACTTCTACACCTTAACTACACTTTAGTGGAAAAAGCACACACAAACAAGTGATGGATCAGAAAGCGGATTTGAAACATCCAGTCAAATAAAAACATTATGCAAAAAGTCAAACTTTATGTGCAGAGAAGTATGCGATAAGGGGGAAAATAGCTGCTGGGGAAAATACTTGAGGAAATCACTTCATTGTGTTAGTGGCAGGAATGATTGCCTTCTGAGAGCATTATTAGTAACAGATGCGTATCTCCTGGTGAAATGGAGGACATACTGTGATATTAAAAGGTTACCACACACTATATAAATTCTAAAGAGACATAAACCCTTCAGATTACTGAAGACTACCACAAGTTAATCTTTTAGCACACGGGTTATTAAGAGGCTGGCCTCTCAGCTTTAGGGGTTACTTCTTAATAGCTCATGACAATGGTTTCCTTCCCTAAAGACATTCAGTAGTTCATATTCTTAGCATTTTTCTCAGCTTGCAGTGGTCATATGAAAAGCTCAACCAGAGCCTCCACCCTCTAGGAATACCAGGGACTTACAATAAAAATATAGAAATACAGAATTACCTCGTTAAAGACTTCTTATTGAAAACACCAAGAACACAGGGCAATAAAACTGCAAAACAGATACTTGCCAGAATCAAGAACTGAAATGAATAAGCATATGCTCCCATCCCTGGTTTTACCCTCCACCCCCTGCAAGCTGGTGCACCTCCAGCTTCTGCCACCCGTGTGAATACAATGTGACCAATGTTAATACAGCAAGCAAACCAGTTCTTTTCCATGCCCCACCGAGGCAAGCTCAGCCAAGCCAGACTGCCCTCCAAGCAACAAACTTGCCATCATCTACTACCTTAAATCCACTTTTCTCACAGAGCCAAGGGTTCACTGTGGGCTCAGTCAAGCCAGAGCCAGGCAAAGTTCTAGCTTCAGATCTCTCCCAAACCCCCACAAGAAACCACTTACAGAAAAGCTGCTCTGCTGTCCTTGCTGCTCCTTCTTTTTCCCAGGGGCCACACTTCACAGGAAGGTAACTTCCTCACCCACCCCTTTCTAAAAGCACCCAGCTGCTTCTCCTTTGGTCTTGCTGCAGCCCCTGATGACGAGTCCCACTCTGCTCAGGGGATGACTCTGCAGCAGCACCCATCCTGCAACCACGCATCCTTTGGGTGAAATCAGGGAGCAAGCTGTAATCAGCACAGCAGGTTTATTCCCACTGGAGGCACTGGGAGGTGCCAGGGGAAGAATAGGTGCCAGCTGACAAGGATGATCTCTAATGAATGACAGTAATGCCTCTCTTGGGCTGCAGCAGCTGCCTTTGTAAATTGAGGAGCTGCCAATAGGAGGGAAGACTTGACACATCTAAATGAATACTGCATGCTTCTGCTGGCTCTGGGTGCCTATTGAATGTGTCTCCGCCTGGTGGGGTTGTTACTGTTGTTATTATTAACAAGAGTGTGGGGAAAGGTAGAGACTGACTTTTGCCTGACTCATACTATTATTGATAAATGATAATGTATCATTATAATTGATAAATACCATCAGGGAAACTGGGGGAATTCTTTCTGCTGGCTCCCTCTGATAGCCCTGAGGAGTGGCTCTTCAGGGGAAGATGGATCAGCTGGTCAGATGTTTATTACCAAGTTTTCCCTAATTCATAGAACCATAGAATAGTTGGGGTTGGAAAGCACCTTAAGATCATCAAGTTCCAACCCCTCTGCCATGGGCAGGGACACCTCACACTAAACCATGTTACCCAAGGCTCTGTCCAGCTGGGCCTTGAACATTGCCAGGGATAGAGTATTCACCACTTCCCTGGGCAACCTATTCCAGTGCCTCACCACTCTTACAATAAAGAACTTCTTCCTTATATTCAATCTTTCCCTTGTGTAAATTTCAACCTGTTACCCCTTGTCCTATCACTACAGTCCCTAAAATGAAGAGTCCCTCCCCAGCATCCCTATAGGCCCCCTTCAGACACTGGAAGGCTGCTATGAGGTCTCCACACAGCCTTCCCTTCTTCAGGCTGAACAGCCCCAACTTTCTCAGCCTATCTTCATACGGGAGGTACTCCAGTCCCCTGAGCATCCTCGTGGCCTCCTCTGGACTTTTTCCAACAGTTCCATGTCCTTTTTATGTTGAGGACACCAGAACTGCACACAGTACTCCAAGTGAGGTCTTACGAGAGCAAAGGGGCAGGATCACCTCCTTCGACCTGCTGGTCACACTCCAATTCCTACCACCTAGTTCTGTTTCTGGCTTTGCCAGTGATGACCATATCTGTAAATAACATGGCTTTTCTTAAACAGGGGGTTAGTGTTCCCCCTAACTCTTGAAGGCTTATGTATTGGTCGTACTCTCTGGATTGGTGGAGTTCTCAAGGATGGTAATAAGAAAATTGGGGTTTTTTAGATTTCTGTCATTTTCAAACGATGACCTGGTCAATAGCTCGATGCATGTGAATCACTTTTGGCTCATTTGAGTAACTGACCTCTTTTGGGGGAATGAAAATTATTAAATCCCTGGGTTCTCTTCTGCAGGGATGTTTTTCCAGTTAAGCAAACCTTGCTGCTTTCTGCTCTGTAGGCTTGGAAGTGAACATGAAATAATGAATTTGTTGTCTTTGTGACGACAGAACTACAGCTCTCCTGCAGAAGGCATTGGTTCAGGAGGCTCACCAGGGGGAGCACAGATAAGAAACTTGCCTAAGTTTTATTTCTGGTTCCAACATATGAAATAGTATTCTTGGTGCCTTTCCAGAACATGATCAGGCTGTGAGCCCGTGGGAGGCCAAGGGCTTCTTCCTGATCACATGGTTCACTTGGATCTGGAGTAATGAAACATCCGTTTGTATGTTTGGGGCAGCTGAAGAGGTGAGCTGAGGCAAAAGGGGTGCTCAGGGAAGTTGCGGTCATGTTGCTCATGAAAAATGAAGTAAGAAAGGGCAGCAGGAAGAGAGAACACACTCGGCAAGGTGTTGGAGCTCGTCACCCATGGGAGGGTAATGCAGGTGAGAGGCTACCATAGATCTGAGGGTTGGTGGTAGAAACATGACCTGACCATTTTCTTATGTATTAGATATTACCTGGGGCAGCACAGGCAAGACAAAAGCTATCCAAGTCCACAGGGGTGATTAAATGTCAGTTATGTGAGCAATGATTCCTCTTCCAAAGAAATGCTTGCTAGGAGCAGACTCTGTACAGCATTAGAGGTTTGGGGTTTTTTTTACCCTATCAAAGTGCACAAAAGCATTGAAAAACCCCATAGTTCGGCTTTTTTAACTTGTGTCTCACCCATGCCTGGCCAGCCCTACCACTGTTCCTCACTCTCCCTGTTTTCCTACCCTAGGTCTCACGTTGGGTGCTTCAAAATAAGGATAATAAAAGGAAAACTCAGATAAAAGACCAAAATGAGGAAACACCGACATTTGCCCTTTGAGGCAGTGTTTTATGTCCTACTCTCAGGCTGTTGCTTGCTTCATGCTCAGCAGCAAGCAGGTAAGACTGTGATGCATTTTGTGACTTTGCCTGTACAAACGTGCCAGTAGTTCACACCTTTTGGTTTTTAACATGCATGTTGATGGTCCATTGTGGTTCACCTTCTCCTCAGCTCCCACCCAGCTGAGGGTCCTTTCAGACCCTGGCCAATACATGTGGTGCCTTCCCAAGCATGTCTCTGGCCAATGGCATGCCTTTGAGGATGCTCTGCAGGGGACAGGGGTGCAGGACGTGCGCCCCGGCTGGTCCCAAGCAGGTTTTCTCTTGGGCAGAGCCGTGTTGCCCTCCTTGCATGTGTTGGAGAGCTTTAGCAGTGAGAAAAACACTGCCACCGACCTCTAGAAAGGCACTGGTGCCTCTGGGACCAGAGCTGATGTCATGAGGTGGGTGTTAGCAGCAGGAAAAGTATGGAAAACTCCTGCCAGCACCCAGGCTTCTTAAACTGAGCAGCCCTTCCTGCTTGAGCACTGCCACAGAGGCAGTAAAGCCCTGAGTCAGCAAAAAATCTGCATGTAACCACGGGCAGCTAGGGGCTGAGCAAGCCTGAATTCAGTCGTGAAGCTGCAGGGGTATGGCTCAGGGCTGTGCAGTGAGGTCCAGGAGGGGAGAAGCATCTTGCCTCCCCCTCCCTGGGAAGGGTAGGTTGCATGCTGCCCTCTCCTGTCCCTCAGTGCCTGTGATGTCAGGGTGCTGATGGTTGTCTGGCTTTTCTCCAGCACCTCCCGCTGTGCTGCAGGCGATAAGGGGAAGCTGAGCTTCACTTTCACCATGCACAAGAGGCTGTCGGTTGTTTGGGCGAGAAGGAGGAGGATGCTGCTTATGCTGACTGATAGAAAATCCTAAATCCCCATCTGTTTTTTTAAAGCTGTCAAACGCGTTGCTGTGGCTGATATAATATTTCTAGTGGATTCCTCTTGGAGCATTGGGAAGGAACATTTCCAACTGGTTCGAGAGTTTCTGTATGATGTTGTAAAAGCTTTAGATGTGGGAGGAAATGATTTTCGCTTTGCCCTGGTCCAGTTCAGCGGAAACCCCCACACAGAGTTCCAGTTAAATACCTACCCCTCTACCCAGGACATCCTGTCCCATATTGCCAACATGCCTTACGTGGGGGGAGGCACCAAGACTGGAAAAGGATTAGAGTACCTAATCGCGAACCATCTCACTAAAGCTGCTGGAAGCAGAGCCAGTGAAGGTGTCCCCCAGGTTATTATAGTGTTAACGGACGGACGATCCCAGGATGATGTGGCTCTGCCATCATCTGTCCTTAAATCAGCCCATGTAAACCTGTTTGCGATCGGCGTGCAGGATGCAGTGGAAGGGGAGTTACAGGAAATAGCAAGCGAACCCTTCGATACGCACCTTTTCAACCTAGAGAATATTACCGCTCTCCACGGCATAGTTGGAGACTTAGTGGCGAGTGTCCGTTCATCCATGACTCCAGAAAAGGCTGGAGCCAAAGGACTGGTTAAAGACATCACAGGTAATGGCTGACTGCTGATGGCTTCCATCAGCATGGGATCTGCTGGTGTTGCGCCTTTGTAGGGGCAAGACTGAGATGGACGTTCAAGAGGTTTAAAAACAAAGGTTTGAAGCATGTGGCCCCATGTTTGTAGCTATCGAGCGTGCTGTCACCTGCAGATTGAGCTGGCATCCCAGGAGGTAGCACAGGAGCCCTTGGATGGGCAGCGACCTGCTGTGACCATCCTTTTGCACGCATGGCATGGAAAGGAGCTCAAGTTAATAACTCTGCAGGGATCTCTGCAGAGTTATTAACTTGCCTCATCCTATCCACTCCCAAGGCAGACAAACAGGGGATGAGCACATTAGCTGTGGCAATGATTCTTTGAGTCCCTGACCAAAACCCCTCAAGATTGAGAAGGTCACTGCTGGCTGCAGGGACACCTTGCGGAATGTCCCCTTGCAGCGAGCAGGGGAATCAGGCAATGTGCTACTCCAGAAAGTCATTCTTGATAGAAGACACGAAAAGCAGTTTGGTGGAGACCTTCTCCACTGAAACCCCATCCCTGAGCTGGCCCTTAGCCTCTCTTCTCATGTGCTTGGAGAAAGGTGTGTGGTTGGAGAGCCCCTTTTGCAGCACCACCCAAATGCCTTCTGTACAAGCTGATGGCTTCCACCTTCTGGAGTGCTGGACCCTTCCTGTGACTGAAACCTCTCTTCAGACCACCTGGGCTTCAACAGATCTGTGCTGACTGCAAGCTGGGGACCAAATCTGCCTGGAAAAAAAGCAAGACACTTCCTCCAGCCTTTCACTGTTCATGGAAAGGGCCCTTTGGGCAGCTTTGTTGTGTTTCACAGCAGAAGCCCCAGAGATCAAACCTTTCTTTTTATTCCTGAGACTCCATCTGAAGGTCAATAGCTTGCGGGGTGATGTAAGGCAACGGCAGTGTAATGAGGCAGTGTAACATTAATCCGCCTGTGTTGTCTTGCCTGATTAACCCTCACGCCAGCCCCACTGAGTGCTCTCCATCACTGCATGACACTGAGCAACACCAAAAGGCTGTGCTCATGTGTATTTTTATTGTGCAACGTGCTTGACAGGGCAAATATCCAGATCACGTGAAAGCCACAGGGAGGAAAAGCAGCTGCCCCAGAAAGGTGACATAAGGTTCACCAGTTCTAAGAAATTCATGTCACTATATGTGAAAATGAGTGTTACCCCAATCAGCTACAGCACTGCAGTGGCTGTTTTGCAGCTTCTCCATTGAAGACCACAGTGCTTCCCTGTTGAAATCACAGGGGAATTGCTCTTTGGCAGCTGGCTGTCCTCCTCAGGGGCACACCAGCATGTAACCCAATAGTACATGAGTATCTGTAATCGCAGACATTTCTTTAAAAGCTTTAAAGGCAATTGCCTCCTTTGTGTTTATCATGCATTTTCAAGTTCATTTCTACTCCAAGAGATTTTTTGCGTTTTCCCTTCCCCCATAACCCAAATTTAAGTTAATCCTACTACAGTCATTTTGTCCCTGTATGACTTGCATGGGTGATCTATGGAATATCAGGAAACATAGGAAAAGATGTTACAGGTCCTAAACACTGGATCACAAGAATGTGCAAAATATGGTACAAATAACGTTTGCCTGAAATGTGTAAAAATGCCATGGAAGTTATGCTAAAATGAGCCCTGATATGAAACAGAAATGTTAACACCCTCCCCCAGTCCCATAGCGCTTCCAGTATAGAGTACCAAAGTTGTTGGTCTCTGGTGGTCCCCAGAGCTGACTAGAATAAATGTGAAAGTCAGACCCAAGTTTGCCCTGATGTATTTGTTAAGCCTGAGCTGTCTGTCTCATCTGACCCTCCTTGCTTAGTTGTGTAACAAGCATGCTTTTATTTGTTCTCCAGCACCAGCTTGTTCCATAAACGTGCACTGAAGTACAAGGTTTTTTACAGTGATGACACATTATCCAATATATCTGTTCCCTATCTATTTTCTCTCCTGAGGGAGTGACCTGTGCTGCTGTGATGGCACCCATTGGTGTCTGAAACCTTGTTCCTCAAAAAGATGTTCAGGGTATCTAAAGCAGCGCTGGGTACAACCACATTGAGATTTTCCCTTCATTTATACGATGAAGTTTAACATGTACATCCCACCTGAAAATGGCACAGTAAAACCAGCACAAAGCACCCCTAAATTTTGACTCAATGGAAAAACAAATCCTGCAGTCCTTTACAATTCTGAACCATGCTAAAGCCAACAGTGGCTATGGAGTTGGCCCAGGGAAGTGATGATGACCTGGAGACCTCCTCTTTAGTCGCTGGAATTGTGGTAGCATTTGAATCTCTTGGTGGCATCATGATTTATGAAAACATTTACTAGAAGAACAATTAAACAGGGGAAAAAACAACCAACCAAACCAAAACCAGTGGTTTTACCACTGCTGGTTAATAGCAAAGACCACAGGTTTATCCCTGGCCTTGCTAAACTCCGTGCCAGTTTTGCTATTGGTTTCACCTTTGGCTTTTAAAAGTTGAGAGCTGAGTGGGATTTACAGACCGTGCATTTGCAAATAGTCTGAAATTTGATTTCTTCACAAGGTTGGAGAGTAATTGCATGGAAACGTCTGAGCATGTTTTTTGGGTGCTATTTACCCCTGTTTGCATGCACACAGCTCTTGGTGACATTGATGGGTATAATTAGTTGAGCAAAAGGAGTAAGAGCAAACACCAGGGCATGTTTGGTCTGCTTCGGTAAGTCTCACAGCAAAAAATGTTTTCCCCTTCATAATCATGTTCATGCCATATAAAAGGTTGGGGGGTTTTCGGAGTGTGTATATTCTCAGCAGATGCTTGTGATCATGTGGGTATGGTCACAACAATTAGAGTTGGATAATTGTGTCATGACTGATTTCATCACCCTGTTTTAACCTGATTCTGCATTCCCTGATTGAATATCCAGAGTCTGTATGAAAAATATCAACCCAACCCCTCCATCGATAATCAGTGCAGCTTTGTGCGAAGTAACTCAAGTAAGACAATTGTTTGGTGTAGTTGGCAGCTGTGCAGGTCTGCAGTACCACTGTGTCTATGCTGGCTGCTGGTAAAAGAGTTACAGTGCAGGATTAATAACTGAGACCTTTTCACTTGTTTCTAACAAAGGCATTTGGAATAATAATCCTTCATGGTGGGAGAAGCCAATAAATTCAGCCACTGCTTTTAACCAGCAAAACAGAAGAATTGCAACAGAGAGGCTGAAACTTTCCATGATTCCAATAAAATGATTCCAGTATAACAGTGGGTTTTCCATTAAAAAGTAAAAATCAGTGTAATGAGGGAAACCTTCTTGAAATCTCCCTGTCCTCACCCACTGTCTTCAGGGTGAATTATCACCAGAATTCACCTTTTCCTTTTGGCTCTAAGTATTGAGACAGTACTGGCCACAGATGGAATGGATTTAGATTGGAAAAAAAGAATGTATTTTGCCAAATTTTCTCCTCATATGCCAATTATTCTGACCCCTGTGTAATTGCAGCCACTTGCTAAGGTTATGTCTCTTTACCAGCAGTGGATGCTACTGAGCTGGGGCTGGGGGCTCTTATTCAATCAGAATGCAGAACTAAGAGGCAAACCTCCTCAGTGAACATGTGTTTTGTTTGCTCATTTTCGTGTTTCTTACTGTTTTTCCAAGAAACATGTCAGAACACTGTACAACCGCATGTAATCACCCATTTTAATGCCTTCACCTTTGCATTTCTTTTTTTAAAGCTCAAGAGTCTGCTGACCTTATTTTCCTTATTGACGGATCAGACAACATCGGAAGTGTCAATTTCCAAGCCATACGTGATTTCCTTGTAAATTTGATTGAAAGCCTCAGAGTTGGAGCTCAGCAGATACACATTGGGGTGGTGCAGTATAGTGATCAACCCAGAACCGAGTTCGCTTTGAACAGCTACTCCACAAAAGCGGAAGTTCTGGATGCCGTGAAGGCACTTAGTTTCCGTGGTGGCGAGGAAGCGAACACCGGTGCGGCACTGGAGTTTGTGGTGGAGAACCTCTTCACCCGGGCAGGAGGCAGCAGGATAGAGGAAGCGGTGCCGCAGATTTTAGTACTGATAAGTGGTGGAGAGTCTAGTGATGATATCCGAGAGGGTTTGTTAGCGGTGAAGCAAGCTAGTATATTTTCGTTTAGCATTGGGGTCCTGAATGCTGACAGTGCAGAGCTGCAGCAGATTGCTACTGATGGAAACTTCGCATTTACTGCCCTGGATATCCGTAACCTTGATGCTCTTCGAGAATTATTACTGCCCAACATTGTTGGAGTGGCCCAAAGACTCATTTTGTTAGAGGCCCCAACCATTGTGACTGAAGGTATGTATGCCTTTCTAGACTGTTCCATTGTGATGAATGAATGAGCTTTTGCACCCTTGAAAAACATACTTATTTTTCTAATTGCTTTTTTTTTTTCCCTTTTGCAATGAATCTCTGTGCTGTGGTTGTGGGAAGGACACTGCTGCTGATGGGCAGAAACGCTTTTGCCCAGTGAGTTACCTTTTGAAAGCTGTGAGGTTGTGTGTCAGTCACTGGCATGGCATGGGGTATACACAAGCAGGGTATAAAAAAATCTCATATAATACTTTTTGGGGTATGTAAGGACTTTAGGAATAAATCCTGCACCACTGTCAGTTCTGAAAACATCTATGTCACATTAGCTTACGTTATATGCCAGTTGAGTGTCATAAGAATGAAATTTGACTGAGGAAGCTATCAGAGATGTTAAATGGATCCTTATTTCACAGCTTGCTAAAACAGTAAAATTCCATACCTCATTGAAACTGTGCACTGTCCTTGGGAAAATGGTGAAACTCCTGTGTTGCTGAACTTAAAAAGCAAAACAACCTTTAGTTCTTCTGAAGTGAAATCCCTACCTTGCTAACATCTATTTCCCTTCAGTGTATCAGCTGAGAAAATTTACTGTGAGGCCATGGAAAAAGAAAATGTAGGTGTCAATATTCCACTTAAGTCACTTTGTCACTCTTAAGTCCTTATTGATACTGTTTCTGGACTAGCATTAGCTCAGATGCAGTGGAATAATGAATATCTGGGTTCACAAGTAGCCGATTAGGAGTTTCTCACCCTATGTTTTTATGCCTAAGTTAAATTTACTGATAGAGAGGCTTTATGGAAGACACAGCACATTGTACTTCAGAGGCTCCTGGAAAGGGCCAGGCTGGAGTTGCTGCACTTAATTACCAGGATGCTCCATGGGAGCAGTCCTTTTGGGATCCAAGTGCCAGTCTGGAGTTCTGTACATACTGTTCACTTCATGATGTATGTTGACACGTAAAACTGTGTTCCAGATGTCTTTGCTGATCTATGCCTAAACATGATTGCTGACCTGTGGCTCAAATCAAACGGAGGAATTTGCCTGAAAGATCATTTTATGACCTTGCCTTGATTATTCCAGGAAAGAACATAAAGAACTTTTGCTGGTAGCATGTCACAAGAACCGTATTTTGCTAAATAAGCTAAAGTCTGCCTGCCTAGCTAGAATGTGCATGCCATGACCCATGTAGCTCAATAGAAAAGCTCTCTTTCTGCCCCTCTGATTTCTAACAGTTTGAATGGTGAGATTAAAAACGTGCTGTATTTGGTTTCATCTGCACTTCTATATTTGTCTCTTAAAATGCCAGCTCATTTGTAGTAGGTACAACTATAACATCAGCCTGTGCAATTACATACAGATGAATATGCTAAATGGAAAAATGGGTATTTCCAAAGGAGCTTTAGGGAATTTCCTTTCCCTAGCACCCATGGAAATGCATTTTGACTGTTCTGCTTGATTCATGTCAGTGCCTTGGAAATCTGCAGTGTAAAGCATTTGGTGTGGGACACACCGCAGCCCAAAAGGGACACCAAACCCACTGAGGTGCCAAGCGTTCCATGTGAAATACTGAAGTCACCCCACCTTACATTAGCCCTCACATTAGCTCTCATGTTAGTGTTGGCTGAACACTAGTTCTTCTGACATGAATAGACACCTCAAAGTGCCTTTCTGACTTTCTTCTCCCCTTTCCTTTAACTGCTGGGGATCCCGGATGACTAAATTATGAGAGATGCTTCACCAAAGATAGCTGAGATTGCAATGAGGAGGGAACTATGTAGGGCTGGGTTCAGTGCTGGCATCCTCCATCATTCCCAGCCTTTAGAGTCAAAGACATAATGCTTTGATCTGAAATCCTTTGAAAGTCCTGGGAGACTTGCCATCAGCTTTACTGGGCTCAGTCCTATGAGACGTGTATAGGATTGCTTAAATGCTTTTGCTTTAATTGTATCCATTGTAATTAACACCATGGTTTGTTTCCTTCTGTGGGCTTTGGTTTCGGTTCTTGCATTCCTCTCCTCCTTATATAAAACATACTGCAGGCTTTGAGAGTTGCAAGAGAAATGAGGAGTGGAGGGAGCTATTCCTTTCCTGCTCCCTCATCTTTGCAAAGCCCCTTCCTTATTTCCCACAAACTCTATAAAAAGTCAAAAGCTTTCAGGGTCTCCATTTTTGGGTATCTAGCTGCTGAGAAGCTAAGTACTTTGGACATCTCTCCTGGATGATGAAAAGCAGAGATTTCAGCCCTCGTTATCCATTTGGCAAGTTTCCTGTTTTCAGCCCTCTCCTTGGAGCAACTGATGAAAAAAACTTAGCTGAGAGAATGAGTGGTGGATATAATGGTTCTGGGAAAATGGTTGTTTAAATGAGTGCTTGTGGCTTTGTGAGTAGCTCTGTTCTGACAACCTGGGCAGCCAACTGCAAGTCACTGGCAGCTCATGTGAGGCTGTATTTTGTGGAGGGTACCACCAGATTTGCTTTGTGCAGGTTCTCATTACTTTGTGTCGCTGACAGCACCAAGGTGGGCTATTCTAATCTTCATATTTTGACAGTCAGTCCTTAATCAAACAACTTCTAGCAAGACTGAGAAAGGCTTGTGCAAAAGACTGCATTGGTGTTGGAGGCAGGTCTCTTGGGGACTGAGGACAGAGAGGCAGCTGAGTCATGGATGTTATCTTCAGCTCTAAATCACTCCTTGGGATAGCCCAGTCTCATGGCACTTACTCCTAATGAGAAACCTGATGGAGATGAGCCTATGGGAACACTGCTTTCTGTAGCCAGCTGGTGTCCAGCCAAGAAGGACTGCAGCCAAAGCTTTTGGTTTTGTTCAACTCCAAAGTAAATAGCCTCCATTCAGAGGAGCACTGATGGGCTGAGGGGCTGCCCTTTGCCATCCAGGCCATACATGAGTGTTTGCTTCCGCTCGCCCTGAGGGGTTTGAGATCCCACCGATTCTGGGTCTCCTCTTCCCCTGGGCTGTGCGCTGATCATAGTGGTAAGCTTGGGAGGCGATGGACCTGCCACCTTAAATATTGACCCCATCTCAGGAGCTCTTAGGTGGTTTGGCAATTTAAGGAAACTGCAAGTCCAACATAATACAATGATCCATAATGTTCCAGCATAACTTGGAAGCAACACAAGGTTTTCTTTTTCACTTAAATGGTATGAAATTGGGAAGGTGATGATGTGAGTGGGGTTGTATAAAAGATGGTATCCAGATTATCTTCCATGACAATGACTTATAATGCTTTTATCACAGTGGTATTGGTCTTGTTAATATTTACTGGGGTTTTTGTGTGTACATTTGCTGTATTAAATATGATGGTGCTTTGGTTCCAATGCTTTACAACAGGGTTTTTTTCTCTGCTAACTGTCTTCCTTCAAACTTAGCCCAGGAACTGGAAAGCTAACTGTGCTTGTTCTGTTTCCTTTGACGTAGTCAGTAATAAAGTTTCAGAGATTACAACGTAGGGAACCTGTTTTGTTAAAGACATGGCAACAAGAATATGATTCAGCTCTTCCATGGCTGGGTTAGCTGTGCCAAGAAAAATCATAACTTGGTTTTGTTAGATAAGGAAAAAGATGTAGGATATGAAGACTCACAGTCCAGGTATGTTGAATAAGTGGAGACTGTTCTCGTGTCATTGCTTTTGGGAACCTAATCCTCCTGAAACCAAACCGTGCTCTGGCATGATTCTGATGGCTCCACTGCAGATAGAGGAAGCATCACCTCTTATTTTAACTCACGTGCCAGCTGAGTACCAAGATTTTTCCTGTTTGCCTTTCTTGTTTTGACATGTATGTGCATTTTAATATTGTTTTATGAACAGTGCAGTTCTTGCAGCTCTTAAACTCTTCTGTGTTTTAGATAGGGAAAACATTCATATTTCTTGTTAACTCTCTGCTAGAACTCAGACAATAATTCTGTTTTGAAAGCAAGAGACTTTGAAAGTTGTTGAGAGTAACAGTATTTCAGACAGACAAGAAGTCCTAAGTGTTGCTGAACTGGTGACTTAGAACTGATCTGCTGTGTGGTGAAGGCTTCTGCTAACTTTATGTTCATGCATTACTTGCAGTTATTGAAGTGAACAAGAAGGATATAGTCTTCCTGATAGATGGCTCAACTGCTTTGGGGACTGCCCCCTTTAATGCAATTCGTGATTTCGTTGCCAAAATTGTCCAAAGGCTGGAGGTTGGACCTGACCTGATCCAAGTCGCGGTGGCACAGTATGCAGACACTGTGAAGCCAGAGTTCTATTTTAACACCCACCAGAGCAGAAAGGATGTGATGGCTAATGTCAAGAGAATGAAGCTCATGGGTGGTACAGCACTGAACACTGGCTCGGCACTGGACTTTGTGAGGAACAACTTCTTCACCAGTCCTGCTGGGTGCAGGATGGAAGAAGGGGTGCTCCCCATGCTGGTGCTCATTACTGGCGGTAAGTCCATGGATGCTGTTAACCAAGCCGCAGCAGAGATGAAAAGGAACCGTATAGTGATCCTTGCCATTGGGTCAAGAAATGCCGACCTGGCAGAACTTCAAGAGATTGCCCGTGAGAGAGATTTTGTGTTCAATCCGAATGACTTCCGTGTCCAGTTCATGCAAGCCATTCTTCCTGAAGTGCTGTCGCCTATCAGGACACTCTCTGGAGGACTGATTATCCAAGAACCGCCATCAGGTAATTAATGACCTGTTTCTAATACAGTTTATGTTTGTCAACCCTTATTCTAGGACATGTGGATATAAGGGGGAAAAAGCATCAAGCACATGTTTCAGCATAACTAAATGTTGTCTCTTTGATTTGCAAAATGAGCAGGAATAGATCGGTGGATTTGGTAGCGTGGTTGTTGTTACAGCTTTGTCATTGCTTCTTGGAGATTTTTGTCCCATCCCATATTTGTCACCAACATTTAAAGGCCTGGAAATGAAAGGTGTGCTTTACTAGTCAGGTACTGAAATCATACAGTGGAGGCTTTTTCTCTCGCTGAGGGTTTGCGTGATCTATGAGCAGGACACACTGTGAATGTTAAAATATCTCCCCTCTTTGAGAATCATTTCTGGGGGAGATTTGCTCAAGAAAGTTTCTTCTGAGTGCCAAGAAAATAAACAAGTTTGTTCCTGGAGACGTTCACACAAATGTGGCCTAACACTGACTGCAACTCACCCTTTCAGAACACATTTACAATTCTCTTGTCATTTACCCAGCTCAAGCCCTAAGAGATGCATGAGACTATAGCAGTGTTGGTTTTCATTTAATCTGTTTAGAAGGTGATTCAAAGCCCTGTGAAGCCAGTGGATCCTTTGACATCCATTGACATCAGTCATGTGGAAGCAATCCAGTTGCTAGTCATGTCCTTTCAGGCAGTTTCTGCTGCATCTCCAGAGGTGGTTAGCTGAGTACAGATATACCAGATTTCTCAGGATTTCTTCCTAATAGGGTTGTTTGAGGTTGAACTAATGCTAGATCGTATTTGAACCTTGCATTTCTGTCTTATGGCGTATGAACATTGAAAACCAAGACTTTCTCCAGCTCCTGATGAGGTCAGGAGTGAGGTTCCCATTGGTTTAAATGGGTGTTGAACCATGTCCATTATTTTTTTTAGTTTCTTCAAGTAATTTCAATAGTAAACCATGGTGCAAAACAAGCAGCTTTTGAAAGGGTCCTTAAGGAACGAAAGCTGATGGCCGTTGTACATGAGGAGCAGACCAGGCGTTTTAAAATCAGTTTGCCATTACTTGTCCTTAATTAAGATGAATATCACGGTACTTATCATTTAATAAGCTTTTTTTGTTTGGAACGTGTTTCTTGCTAATGCAGTTTTGCATGGCTATACACAAGCCTGGCATTCTAATCTTTAATGGAAATTTAAAGTGTTCCCAGACTTCCTTGTTCTGTAAAGCTCATTCATGCAGCTTCTCTCTTTTTCCAGTCCTTTTGCTCTATTTTACTCACAGCTATTCACATACACCATAAGCAAGTAATCATATCCTACTCCATAGAATGGCTGTTATTAGTAACATACTGATTTTGACACTGGGCAGTCTGCTTTGTTTCAACTAGATACTGCCTCACCCTGGGCCTTGAATCACACTTTTCTGGGAGACAGCCCAGGAAGGACTTAAGTTTAAAAAAGGAGCTAAGAACTGGCTGGTTATGGCCAGAAGCGGGAAATTTCTCCCCTTTCAACAGCCCACAAAATGTATGACCATAACTGCAGACGTCAACATCCAGTTTTCTGCACTATATGTAGCCATCAAACGAGCAGGTAGCTCAAGCAGCTGTTGTAGTCTGGTTTGGACCAACTTTCCTAAGCCCATCAGTAAAAGGTATTTTTAATATCCACTTAAAATACCAACCACAATGGTTACTTGGCAAAAGCGTTTCCCCATACAAGTGGAGCTTAACCTTGCAACCCAGACCAGCCGCTGCTGGCTGCACAGCATGACCATGGAAGTCACTGCAGGGCAGTACATGGTTCTCTACATGGGGATGCATGGCAGCATCTCCATGGAATGGGGGATTGCTGTCACTAAGGTGGTGATAGTACTGGGTGTCAAAGCCCACTTAAAATGCCAAAAGCAGAAGCATTCCCTAAAGCTTCGTTAGAAAGGCCCAAGTAGTTGTGCGTTGACTTGCAGATAAGCAAGATGTCTATAGGTATAATTCAGTATTGCTCCACCAAAATCAATGAAGCTGCTTTTTGATGGCTAAGGGTCTGGGGCAGAGCATGCAGCTCTGGTACTGGCAGCCATTGAAAAGATCTGCCATGGCAGAGTCTAAGCCCCACTGATAAACCTGACATTTAAAAGACTTTTCAATACACATCAGAAACTTCCCCTGCCCAATTTTGTTGTTTCCAGCAAGGTCCTTGTTACTTCTGTGCTGATTACACTCTTTCCCATCTCTTTTTCTCATCCTTCCATCTAACCATGTTTACATGCGTGTACAGCGTACGCTGTATGCACACATGACAAAAAATAATCCATGTTTGTTTTCTGTGATGTCTCATGTTATTTTCTGTGCTCTACTGCAGTTCAAGTAACCAAAAGGGATATCATCTTTCTTTTGGATGGATCACTCAACGTCGGAAATGCCAACTTCCCCTTTGTGCGTGACTTTGTTGCCACCCTAGTTAACTACCTTGATGTCGGCAGTGACAAAATCCGAGTTGGCTTAGTGCAATTTAGTGACACTCCTAAAACAGAGTTCTTTCTATATTCGTACCAAACCAAATCAGACATAATTCAACGTATGGGGCAACTGAGGCCCAAGGGAGGGTCAGTGCTGAACACTGGCTATGCACTGAACTTTGTGCTTTTGAATCACTTCACGGAAGCTGGTGGGAGCAGAATAAATGAACAAGTGCCGCAGGTCCTAGTCCTGGTGACGGCAGGGAGGTCTGCTGATCCCTTCCTCCAAGTTTCCAATGCATTAGCTCGGGCCGGAGTGATGACTTTTGCTGTTGGAGTTAGGAGTGCGGATAAGGCAGAGCTTGAACAGATTGCCTTTAATCCAAGAATGGTATATTTTATGGATGATTTCAGTGCTCTGGCAGCTTTACCCCAGGAGTTAAATAAGCCTATAACAACATATGTTAGTGGAGGTGTGGAAGAGGTTCCACTCGCCCCAACAGGTAATACCTACCTTCCTGCATGCTGACTGCATTAAGTTAACCTTGTTTCTCTTGACAGTTTGTTCCCAGTGTACACCTTCACATCTGTTCAAGGCCCTGAGTCATCAAAGCAGTTAAGGCTGTGTACCAATACATAGCTTGGCTATGTATTGACAGTTAAACTGGCTGCTCTTAATTTGTAACACATGTCAAAGTCAGCACAATTTAAGCCTTTTGGCAGGTTAGGATCAAAGCGAGTCTGCAATGACCAGTCACTCAGGTGGTCCCTTTCTGTTGCCCTAATCATGTCACAACCTGTAAATGCATCTTTGGCGCTAACTCAGGCAATGGGAACATATGCTTCTGGCCACAAGGAGTGGTGTGGAAAGGTTAAAGTTGGGCCAAAGAGCACAGAGGAGCAGAGGTCTAGCCAGGTACAGGTGACTAAATCCTCAGAGCCACTTTGTCAAAGTGCTGTTATCGGGCTGTTACAGAGGCCAAATTTGACTCCAGATATTCCAAGTTATCCTCCAACATTAAACCCCAAAGCTGTCAGAAAATATAACCATTTTTAAACAGGTATTTGCTCACCTTATTTTGGCTATCTGCGTATCAAGACTTAGGAACAACCAGGATTGTTTAGTATGGAAAGGACACCATTAAGATTAATGTGAAAGATGTTAAGCACATAGATATGAGATGCTTGGTTTTCCCTTAGATACTCAATGAGACTAAAAGGGCACCAAATGGAAACAGATAAAAGGCTTTTTCTCCTCCCAAAGTCATAACTAGCCTATGTATTTGGATGCTCCTTGTGATGCAGCTAGAGATATTTTTAGAGAATACAGAATACGCTTTGTGTGTCTATGTATGTATGAACTAATATCTGTTATCTACTAAGCCTTTAAACAGACAGAAACCCCACAACCCTCCACTGCTGTTGTACTTCATGCCTCTATTACCAGCATATCGCTAGACTATATCAATATCACTGGCCTAATCTGAAACAGCCAATTTATGACGTGAATGATATGATGCAATACAGTGTATGATACGACTATCTGGTGCCTGCGTTTATTGAGTCCTAGGGTAGAGGTGTTCTTGTTTCCCCTTCTTCCTCAGATAAGTAAGTCAAAGGTGCTGTTTAGTCTTGTAGCCTTTGAATACTTTGGTATATGAAAATCACTCACTTTGTGTATTGAAACCCAGCTAATTTTCAGAGAAGTTTCTAGGATGATGTTTGAGAAGAAAAATGGCCTCATCTCTGTTTTTCCCCTCTTTTCATTTGTGAATTTATTCTAGAAAGCAAGAAAGATATTTTATTCCTGATTGATGGCTCAGCCAACCTCTTGGGTAGCTTTCCTGCTGTCCGCGACTTTGTACACAAAGTCATTTCTGACCTGAACGTGGGTCCTGATGCCACACGAGTATCTGTAGCTCAGTTCAGTGACACCATCCAAGTTGAATTTGACTTTGCTGAACTCCCATCTAAGCAAGACATGCTTCTCAAAGTGAAAAGAATGAGGATAAAAACTGGGAAGCAATTGAACATTGGAGCTGCACTGGATGAGGCTATAAGAAGGCTGTTCGTGAAGGAAGCTGGAAGCAGGATTGAGGAAGGAGTTCCTCAGTTTTTAGTCCTCCTTGCTGCTGGGAGATCAACCGATGATGTGGAGCAACCATCAGATGCTCTGAAGCAAGCAGGAGTTGTGACCTTTGTTATTAAAGCCAAAAATGCTGACCCTGTAGAGCTGGAAAGGATCGTGTATGCCCCACAGTTCATCCTGAACGTCGACTCCCTCCCTCGGATTTCAGAGCTTCAGCCAGACATAGTGAACCTCTTGAAAACTATCCAGCTTCAGCCAACAGGTACAGGGACTCCCAGGGTTTCCAAAAGGCTGAAAGACATCACTTACATGACCCCCTCAATTTGGTAACTGGGACAATTGGGTCTGATGAAGTTTAAAACCATTGCATAGAAACTGCTCCTCTGGTCAGACCCTGATCCAGAAAAGAAGGTCCGAACTGAATTTTAAAGATGAGCAAGGAAAAAACCTTGTGTTCAGCTGCAAGAGATGCAGTTGGTGCTGTTACTGGTGTATAAAACATGGTAGAAACCTGAAATGCTGCAGAGTTGTTGCCCCAGAGATCTCAGATAAGTTCGTGTGCAGTGCTGGCCAAGGGCTAGGAGAAGCAAATAAAGGCTTGTCTCAATTTCTCTTTCCACCCTCCCTTTTCTGGAGGAGTGGTAAGGAACAAGAAGAGCACTGCACACACACTGGATTTGCTTCTGCTCCATTATTTCTTACAGGATATGACAGCAGTTTCTACATTTTGTACCTATGCACCAGTAAATCAGATGCTCTTGACTCAGTTACCATCAGCCTCCATAGATGAGTGTGGATTAACTGAAGAAAAAAAAAATCATAAAAAGAATCACACAGCCACAATTATAAATTCACATTGTGGCACTGGAAATGATGCAGGTCCAGCAGTGTGATTTCCTAAGGCAGCCCTTCCTTGGGTATTAACTTATCTCCCGACAGCAGCCGGGGAGAATGAAGTGTGTAATAACATCCATGTCATCTCTGTATACAAGTCCTAGGCAGATGGACTTAGAATCATAGAAACATAAACAAGATATAGGGCTGGAAGGGATCTCAGGGTGCCATCTGCTACACACTCTTGTCCCCAACAGGATCTTCCTGTCCAGAACCAGTTGACATTGGTTTAATCTGTCCTGAAAACCCTCCAGTAGAGATTTCCCAGCCTCTGTAATCAGTTTGATTGCTTTTATCTGTATCAGTAGATACTTTTATCTGTATCAGTAGATATTTTTTCTTAAAGAACCTCTACCTTCCTATTCATAGTTTAAGCCTTTTACATCTCCTTCAGCTAAAGAAGGATACAGAAGTCAGCTCATTCCCATGTTCTGTGTGACAGCCTTTCATTTACTTTAAGCTTGCCACGTTAGTCTGTTTTTGGTCCTCCTGTCACCAGCTGTATACCCAACTCATTCAATCTTTCTCTATAGGACTTGTAGGTCTTTTCTACCTTTTCACCCTTGTCTTTCCAACATCAGCCTTCTCAAACGACCAGAGTGTAATAATGGTATCCACTGGTCATCTGTTACCCTATCCTTTCCTTGTGGAGTCATTGCCCTTCCCATATTTGTGCAGCTTCTGCCTCAACATAAACTAGTGACTAGTGCTCTTGAGCTGCTCCCTCCTTTTCAAATCACTTCTGTCTTGTCAAGATCATTTTGAATCCCTCTGACCACCAAGTACGGTGAATAACTGTGCCATTTGCTCACAGATAGTTGTATCCACCTACTTCTAATATTCCTGGCTAAATGATAGACACCTTGTAAAAGTACCCATATTTTTTCTTATTCATCTGCTATCAGACACTTTTGATAGGAGTGTCTTCTGCTGCTCCTGAACCTTAGAAAAAGTGTCTGAAACTGTGATGCACCAGGCAACATCTGAACCGTCTTCCTATCTGTATGGCTCAGTGCAAGCTATATTATCATTCCAGTCCTATGCATTAGCCCATCAAGTTTCCAACATTCCTCTTAAATAATAAACTTGGTCTGAAGTTTGCATTAAGTCTTCAGCTGCCTTTGTTAACTCCATTATTCATAAGATTTTCTTCAGAGGGACAGATTGCGCTCCTGCTTGTCCCACTTGACCCTGCTATAAACAAGACAATTCTGTTAATAGCAGAATGTGTCAACAGTTCTCTAATCTTTGGTGTTTCAGTCTTGTTTATTTTGTTTTTAAAAAAGAATGTTTGGTCAGAATTCTTTTTTTTTTTGTGCTTGAAGTTAGTAAAGATATAAAAAATCAGTTAAAAAAAAATAAATCTCCAGTGTCTGGCATTTTAGAAAAGATTTCACATTTTTCACTTGGGTATCTTTTCCAGCAAGTTTTTATTTTGCGTGAGCATGAGCAGGATTATTTATTTCTAAATTGAGTGATGCCTCGGGAAAGCTTTCCATCTCACTGCCTCCCTGCAAGCACCCTCTCTGCAGTATGCAATGCCCCAGACTCCTGTTGCATATTGCAAAGCCATATGTACCAGCTTCACAGTCCCCGTGGGAGCAGCCAGCTTCTCCCAGCCTCAAGTAGGAGATGGCACCCAGAGTCCCTTGGCACCCTATTTCGTATGGCTCTATGATTCTATGACTCAGTGGATAAGGCATGGCACGTGTTGCACAGCATTTTCCACTGACTTCCACCCATCTGCCTCTTCACCAGCGATTGGATCTGATGGCAAAGGAACTAAACCATCCTGACTCCTCAGTTTCCCCTCCCTGAGCTTTTGTACTTCTTCAGTTCAATGTATGTGGAGACTAATAACCATTGCAGAAGAGTATCTTACTTATTCCCCCCTTCCCTTGTCTCAAACAGTAGTTGAGAGAGGTGAGAAGAAGGATGTGGTGTTTCTAATCGATGGCTCAGATGGTGTCAGAAGAGGTTTCCCTTTACTGAAGACCTTTGTCCAAAGAGTTGTTGAAAGCCTGGATATCGGTCGTGACAAAGTCCGTGTCGCCGTTGCACAGTACAGCAATGCCGTGCAACCCGAGTTCTTACTCGACACCCATGAAGACAAAGCAGATCTCATCAGTGCCATCCAGGAGCTGAAGATTATGGGAGGATCTCCTCTGAACACTGGAGCAGCGCTCGACTATCTTATCAGGAATGTGTTCACTGTGTCAAGTGGCAGCAGGATAGCGGAAGGCGTCCCACAGTTCCTGATTCTGCTGACTGCTGACCGGTCCCAGGATGATGTAAGGAGGCCCTCGGTGGTCCTGAAGACAAGTGGCACTGTGCCCTTCGGCATTGGGGTTGGAAATGCTGACATCACAGAGCTGCAGACCATTTCCTTCCTCCCAGATTTTGCCATTTCTGTGCCTGACTTCAGCCAGCTGGATACGGTGCATCAGGTCGTCTCCAACAGAGTCATCCGCCTGACCAAGAAAGAAATAGAGTCACTTGCCCCTGATCTGGTTTTTACATCACCCAGCCCAGGTGAGAAGATGTTTGTGTCTGCACTGAGAGCCAGCGGCAGAATATGATGTTTAATAACATCATGGTTGCAACACAAACTGAGAAAAGCAAGTGGTCCCAGCTAAGATCCCAAATCCATCTTGGTCTCACTGTTGATGCACTTTAGGATTGGTAGGAGCTGTGTAACTTAAGCTGAGCCACCTTTAAGCCCAGTTCCTCAAGGTCATCCTTGTTGTATCCTCATGGAAGACCCACAAAATAAATGCTAATACCTTGATCTTATTTTAAGTTGTGATGGATTTTAAGTCCACGCTATTCCTTGTGGAATGGAAAATGCGTCATTTAGATGCTATAGGGATGTCTTCACACCACTATAAATCAAGGTCAGCTTCCTGCTAAATGGAAGACCTGCTGATGTGTGTTACATCTGCCACACACATTTACTGGGGGAAGGGAAGATGGAAGCATCGAGAAAAGGATCAGATCTTCCATTTCTGATCTCGCTCAGAATGAAATCCAGCCAGCTTATGCCTGGGGTGAAGGGTACGCATCCCAGATCAGTCCATTTGAAGCCCTTCTATCAGTACCTTCCCTTCAGAACCAAACTGCTTTCCTCCATCCCCATTTATCAGTGTGCTATTCAGTAATAATTGAGGCTCTGTCCTGCATTATCACTGCAGAAAACATTGTATTAGGAAGCAAAAACTTATCCTGGAAAGGCAGAAGCTGAGAGAATAATAGAATAGAAACTTTCTTAGAGGACAAAGCCAAAGATAGAGGGGTGGTACTGAGTGTAAAACAGCCCCTGGCTGCCTGGAAACCTGCTCTGAGTAAGGAATGTCACCAGGCTACGTTTCCTTGTGTGAAGATCCCAGAAGGAATTGTTGCAGTCTTCCCCTGCTCCCTCTTGCTTCCTTTGCTGTGGAAGTTGCTGTTCTTGCACTCCCTGTGGATGTGCCTAGCAGACTGCTCCTGTCTCTCTGATATCTCCTTCCTGCTGAGAGCCACAGGAGCTATCACAAGCAATGAAACAATCAGCACCCCCCCATGGCCAAAGACATGGGCCAGTGATGTAGATAATGAGCTTAGCTGTTCTCCATAAGCAATGTGTGATGCATCTTCTGACCACTGCCTTCCTTCCTGCAGCGGGTGTGAAGAGGGACGTCGTGTTCTTGGTTGATGGTTCCCGCTATGCTGCCCAGGAGTTCTACCTCATCCGTGACCTCATTGAAAGGATAGTGAACAACCTGGATGTGGGCTTTGACACCACCAGGATTTCGGTGGTCCAATTCAGCGAGCATCCGCATGTGGAGTTCCTGCTCAACGCGCACTCCACCAAGGATGAGGTGCAGAGTGCTGTGCGGCGGCTGCGGCCTCAGGGTGGCCAGCAGGTGAACGTGGGGGAGGCCCTTGAGTTTGTGGCAAAGACCATCTTCACCCGGCCCTCCGGGAGCCGCATAGAGGAAGGCGTCCCTCAGTTTTTGGTCATCCTCTCCTCCCGCAAGTCAGACGATGACTTGGAGTACCCATCACTCCAAGTGAAACAAGTGGGGGTGGCACCTATGGTGGTAGCCAAGAATGTGGATCCTGAGGAGATGGTACAGATTTCCCTTAGTCCTGATTATGTATTCCAAGTCTCCAGCTTCCAGGAACTGCCCAGCCTCGAGCAGAAGCTACTGACTCCTATTGAAACCCTGACAGGGGACCAAATCAGAAGGCTGCTGGGAGATGTGCCACCTTCTGTAGGTAAGGCTCTGTCAACATCAGCTGCTTCTGTGTTGCTGTTCAAATAAATGTTGCCCAAATGTGTAAATAACTTTTCATGCCTTCTCTATAAACCAGGGCTTTCCTCAGTTAAAAGCAGAAGTGCAGCACATGTAGTTTTAGAGGGAAGCTGTCAGATGCACAGAAATTTGACCCAAGTACTTAAATACATTGTAACTTGTGATTTTCAAGTCAGGTACCTAAGTATGTTACTTACTTTGATTCAAGTCAAATATCACAATACGTACTACTGTTTCTTCCCATTTAGCAGCTATCCAGGAAAGAGAAATAAATCTGGGGCAAAATGAAGGTGGAAACACTGACAAATCCAGAGAAGAGTTAATGAACAAACCAGATAAGGCTCTGAGAAATTCATGATTTGAGTATGAGTCAAGATTGTTAATACACACTTGCACACAAGCTCTTTTGGAGAGGCTTCTCAAAGCACCATGCCTAAAGTTGGCTAAAATATGCTTTGCAGTTTTACATCACACAACGGATATAGCACAAAAATCCTTCAGCACAGCTTAAGCAAGGACTTTGCACATAATTTCCTCTCTTCTTGCTTTATTTCTGCAGATATTTCTGGTGATGAAAAGGACATAGTCTTCCTCATTGACACCTCTGACAGTGTCAGGCCCGATGGGCTGGCTCACATTCGGGATTTCATCAGCAGAATTGTTCAGCAGCTGGATGTTGGGCCAAACAAGGTGCGGATTGGTGTGGTGCAGTTCAGCAATAACGTCTTCCCTGAGTTCTACTTGAAGACCCACAAGTCCAAAAATGCTGTCCTGCAAGCCATCCGCCGCTTGAGGCTTAGAGGGGGGTCCCCTCTGAATGCTGGAAAAGCCCTAGACTATGTGGTGAAGAACTACTTCATCAAGTCTGCAGGGAGCAGGATAGAAGATGGAGTGCCCCAGCACCTCATTCTCATCCTCGGAGACCGGTCCCAGGACGATGTGAACAGGCCTGCTAACGTGATCACATCAACGAGTATCAAACCTCTGGGTGTTGGAGCCAGGAATGTGGACAGGAACCAGCTGCAGGTCATTACCAATGATCCTGAGCGCGTACTTGTGGTGCAGGACTTTACAGGACTCCCAACTTTGGAAAAGAAGGTGCAGAGTATTCTTGAAGAGCTTCCAATACCTACAACAGAAACCCCTGGATTTCTAGGACCTGGTAAGACTCCTGTTCATCCTGTAGACTTTTCTGGACAGAGCACAGATAAAATTTGTTTAATGTTTCCATACGAAATGTTTCCATACTAACACCTTTTGAATCTCAACCCTTTAGCTGCATTCATTTAAAGAACACTCAGAAGATGACTTTGTTGAGTGTATGAAAGAATAGAATTAAATTTGAAATAATACGAGGGTGTCTATCACAAAAAACCAAAAAATATTTTATGAAGTGTAGTAAATGTTGTATAAAACCCTTCTTCTTGTATGTATATGTAATTATAGAATGGTTTGGGTTGGAAGGAACCCAAATGATAATCTAATTCCAACTCCCTGCCATGGGCAGGGACACCTTCCACTAGAGCAGGATGCTCCAAGCCCCATCCAACCTGGCCTTGAACACTTCCAGGGATGAGACAGCCACAGCTTCCCTGGGCACCCTGTGTCAGTGCCTCAGCACCCTCACAGGGAAGAACTTCTGCCTAACTTCTTATCTAAATAAGAGAGAAACACGATGCCACTTCACAAAGCACTAAGCATCATAAGTATTATGAATGCTGCCAACAATTATTAACAGATGTGTTTTCTCTGTAATCTTTCCAGAAGGAAAAAAGCAGGCTGACATTGTGTTTTTGCTGGATGGCTCCATCAATCTGGGGAGAGATAACTTCCAAGAAGTTCTCCAGTTTGTCTACTCTGTGGTGGATGCCATTTATAGGGACGGTGACTCTATCCAGGTAGGACTGGCCCAGTACAACTCAGATGTCACTGATGAGTTTTTCCTCAAGGACTACTCCACCAAACCTCAGATTTTAGATGCTATCAACAAAGTCATCTACAAAGGTGGACGAGTGGCAAACACCGGTGCAGCCATCAGGCATATCCAGGCAAACCACTTTGTGAAGGAGGCCGGGAGCAGAATCGACCAGAGAGTGCCCCAGATTGCCTTCCTTGTCACGGGCGGGAAGTCCTCAGATGATGGGCCAAGTGCCTCCTTGGAAATCACACAGAAAGGCGTCAAGGTGTTTGCAGTAGGCGTCAGAAACATTGACCTGAAGGAAGTCAGTAGGTTGGCCAGTGAGAGTGCCACGAGCTTCCGAGCATCCACAGCCCAGGAGCTGTCTGAGCTCAACGAGCAGGTTCTAGTTACATTGGAAGCCGCTATGCAGGAGAAACTGTGCCCAGTAACAACGGACGTTACAAGAGGTAAGTGCCATCCTCTCATAATATGCTCAGGCCATTCCTGAGGGTGGCTTTTAATATCCAGTGATGTTGATAGACTTGTCCAGCCTTCTCTTCTCCTTTGCCTGTAGCCTGAGGTGTGGCATGGGCTCAGATCTCCTCCATGAGCATGGTGGTAGGTTTCAAACCTTAGGTATGAGAGCTGCCTGTTCTTGTGCTTCAGCCTACTATATGTATAATAAGACAGTTGGGCTTCTTGGCCATTCAGACCCTGGCATGCATGGTGTGCTGGAAATCAGAATTTCTCTTTCCCACTTGATCTCATGACAGGTATATGCGAAAAAGCTAGGGCATGTGTAGTTGTAGTTTAAGCTAAAATTACCCTAAGAAGGATCCCATGATTTAGCTACTTTGAAAGTGAAGCAAGGAGAATTAGGGTGAGTAAGTGAGCTGGTATTGCTTTTGGACAGAATCCCAGCAGCTGGCTTAACTTACTACAGTACAGCAAGTCCTCCTCCTAGGATAACTAACCACAGTTCAGCCCTCTGACTTTTGAGCAGAGGTGTCTCCTGAACCTCTGGAGAAGCTGAAAGAGAGCCACAGCAGCCCTGAGCTGAGTGAAAGGCATCCAGCAGCCTGATCTCTCAGTGCTGCAGACCAATAGGCAGCTCAATGGCTGCAGGGTGGCTCCAAGCCCATGCTAAATATTCCTGCAGAAAAGCAGTGCTCCTACCAGTGCTAAGCAACAGGTGCACAGGAAAACATCAAATAAAATCAATGAAATGCAGATTTTCCCAGGTTATAATTACTGAGATGAAAGGAAGTAGAAGGCACTTGTGGATCAAATGCTGTCAGTGCCTGATGCAGAGAGAGTCTTCTCTAAGGACTGTGCCAACAGCAGGGGGTTGGAACTAGATGACCCTTAAGGTCTCTTCCAACCCAAACCACTTGATTCTAAGACTAACAGAATGATCAATTGGGGAAGTCATTACTTGTAAAACAATTACATTGCTCAATGGCGACGTTTTCTTCTCTTTTTGCATTTCCCTTTCAGATTGCAACTTAGATGTGATACTTGGCTTTGATGTCTCAGATGTTGGGCCTGGCCAGAATATATTCAATTCCCAGAGAGGTTTGGAGTCCAGAGTTGAGTCTGTGCTGAACAGAATAACACAGATGCAGAGGATCAGCTGCACTGGCAACCAGGAGCCCAATGTCAGGGTAGCCATCATGGCCCAAGCTCGGGGGGGACCTGTGGAGGGTCTGGACTTCTCTGAATACCAGCCTGAACTCTTTGAGAGGTTTCAGGGCATGCGAACTCAGGGGCCCTATTTCCTCACAGCTGATACACTGAGGTCCTACCTGAGCAAGTTCAGATCTTCACCCGCTGGCAGCACCAAGGTAAGACAAAATGAAGGCCATTGGGATGGTGTTGGCCAGGAAAGCTGACCTCTGATGTATTGTAATTGGTAAAGCAACAGTGAAATCATGATAAATAAAAAGCATACATTAAATAAATGTATTCATAATAAAGTTGGCGACATAAGCACCGCTAGTTTCCGAGGCATTGCCAAGCTCCTTTCCTGACAATTGCAGAGCATTGCTGCAGCCAGTACCCATGAGCACTGCCTGGCTGCAAACTACTGCTTTCCAGGTATTTCCCTGCTTGTGCTTTAGCAGCATACACCTGTGTGTTATGATGTACAGAAACCTAGCATAGAAATGCAAAGCTTCATATCTTGGAAAGGGTGTAACAATTCCCCCATATCCTCTCAGATGAAGCATGCCTTGGAAGAAGGCCCTTCAGGTTGCACATTGATTGTGTTCTGTACTCAAAAGTTCTGGGTCCTGGTATAAATTTGTTTCTCTCCCAGGTTATAATCCATTTTACTGATGGTGTAGATGACTCGATAGAAGAGCTGGAGGCCACTTCGTCTACTTTGCATGCAGAAGGTAACTTTTTTACTCTTCAGGGCAGTGATTATAATCCATATTAATATTTGGTCCATTTTACCACCTTTTCTAATGAATCCTCCAGTTTTAGATAGTAATGAATAAGGATTTCATGATTTCTATATGCACTTGCTGCTCTCTATTGCCCTCCTGTGATATTTAGCTGCCATGTGGCACCTGTGTAACTTGCATTGAATGTGCTTGAAGATGCTTGTCCTCAACTGATAACCTCTACTTGCAATCAAAGGAGTGGATAACAACCCATCCTCACAGGGGAGGGTGTGCAGGCTCTGCAGAGCACTCAACCTATCACACAGCCCCTTCTGATTCTCCCCTCTCAGGTGTCAATGCTCTCATCTTCATCGGGCTGGACCGAGTGAGTGATTTTGACAGAGTGATGCAGCTGGAGTTCGGTCGTGGGTTCACCTACAACAGACCCCTCCGAGTCAATCTGCTGGACCTGGATTTCGAGCTGGCGGAGCAGCTCGTAAGTGACTTGGCACAAGCAGGGCTGCCTTGTAATGCTGGAGGAAAGCTGACCCTTGATCTCCTGTGGTGCTGAACTGAGGCTCTGGTCCTCTCCCCTCCCTGTGTCACATCAGTGCTTCTTACAGATGCCACAGCAAAGAAAGCTAAGAGCAGACCATGGCGCTGCCTGGTCTCGTACCACGCCAAGCCAGCCAAGGCTACAGCTCATGGGATTAGGTCGAGTGGGATAGGATAAAATGCCATCAAAAGCTGGTGTGCCAAAAAGCCTGCCCTTCACCTATATTTATATTGTTGGGTAATGCACTGTCATGCCTTGTCAGTGCTAGACTTCTTACAGAAGCCCTGTTTTCTAGGTTTCTTTCCCCAAGATGATAAACTGCCTGTATTTCAGACACACTTTTTAACAGGTGAAGGAGTTATCCTTTCTTATTCTGCTTCCCTGCCATGTATGAAGTCCCTCTGAAGTTTGTTGGGTAAATTTGCTATCAAGCTTGGTATGTCCAGTTCCTGCCAACTTCACATCTGTTACCAGCATCATTAAGCTTCTTTTCCAGTAGATTTAATAAGATTGGGCTTAACTGCTGATCCCTATGGTATCCTTGCTGGTCCCTTCTCCACAAATCAGCATGCAGTCACTTGGGAGTAAACCTTGGGTTTGGGGATCACAGCTAGTCTCCTCAGTCCATCCCCAAATAATTCAGTTACCTAGGAAATTCTTTCAAGATGTAAATGTACAAAGCTGTCAGGAAGCATTTGCACCAGCAACGTACTTGGCAAAGAAAGTGAATTTTTTTCCTTCCTTTAGGATGATGCAAAATCAAGCTGTGATTTCTCTGAATCCCTTTCTGTCTTTCTGGCTTTCTGTCTTCTTTTCTCCTCACTTCTTGTGTGCTCACAAACTGCCCTCAGCCTGCAGGTCGCTGGCCAAGTGTTCCCTGCAGTGACCTTCTTATGGGCTATTCCACATATGTTTCTTAGGAGATGAGATAGCTCTCTTCAGTACCAGCACTGCTCTGGGGACTGAGCTACATGCTCTCTACAGATTCTGCCCCACACTGTTCCTATTTAAACCCTTGCCTCTGATGTCCAAAAGAAAACTGTTGCTTCCTAACCATGCAACCTGTCCAGTCTGCCAACACACGCCTCCTTCTCCTGGTATGCTGTGGGTGTTTCAGGGTAGACAGATCCCAGAACGCTACCAGACTGATGTTAAGTTTGGCACAGGGGCAATTGCACAGACTCAGGGCTTGTAGGAGTTACAGTGCTGGTGCTCTGCCAAGTTTTAACACCTTGTTGTTGTCTCATATGCATTTTGCTGCAGGACAACATCGCAGAGAGGACTTGCTGCAAGGTCCCGTGCAAATGCTCAGGGCAGAGAGGGGACAGAGGTGTGCCGGGCCCCATAGGACCAAAGGTAAGTCACTTACCTGGGGATGAAGGGTGTTTTCATGCAAGGTCAGTGTCCACTATGGTGGTGATGGGTGGGTGTTGTGCAAGCTGCATACATTGTAGAGGGTGATGCTAACAGGAAGCTCATCTCCATTTGTGCCCCATTTTAAAGCTGGCCCTGGGCCATGCATAGTGATTGAGAGCTTCTCTCCTCCATCACTAACAGCCTCTGTGTTGTAAAAGGAGGAGGTGAAGTGTCTTGTGAAAGTGTTTAGGGATGTTAAAAGGAGACGGTTTCTCTCATCAGCTTGTTTACGTAGGTAACCAAGCAGCCACTTTGTGCAAATTTGAGAAATCTCGAGTATCAGTTTAGAGGGAGATCATATGTAAGAAATGCAGAATCCTCTTGGTTGTCTTCTAGGGTGCCACAGGCGATCTTGGCTACGGAGGCTATCCTGGTGATGAAGGAGGACCGGTGAGTGATTGCACCTGCTCTGCACAGTACTGCTCAAAGAAAGGTCCTCACCATAGTGGAGGCTTTTTCACTAAATATTTTCTACTCGGGATGTGGGCTTGGATTAGATGAGAAAGCAAGCAGAACTTTGTGTTTTCCCATCTGATGGCCTGAGTTGTTGGTTGCAGTTCCTCCTGGGTCAGTAAGGAGCAACTTGGGAAGTGAAGAAGGCACGATGGGGGCAACAGCTCCTATTATTTGATGTGATGCAGCTGTGTTCTGTTCCTCCAAGGCAGGTAGGATTGTTTGCAGCTGGTCCCAATCACCTCTGAGTAAGGCACAGTGATTACAAACACCATAAAAACCCCAACTTCATTAAAGCTGCAGTCTCTGCTGAAGTTACTTGCGTTTAGTGAAGTTGAGAGATTTCAGTTAGCCCAAGAATGGGACCAGGAAGGCATGTATCAATCCATCACAGTGGCAGACAGTGTGAATCCCATGACTTCTTACTAGCACTGCTTCATCCAAGCTCTTGATGAATCCCACGTCACCCCTGGAATAAACAACTCCCCACGCATTACGCCCAGGAGGTGAAGCTGAGGCCACGGGGCTGGCGGTGCTTACTGCTTTGCCAATAGCACAGGCAGGGCCAAATGCTGCTGTCAGATATCATGTGCGAGGCAATGTTTTCATGGGGCTCTAAGGTCAGGATGGGGTTAGACATCTTTGCAGAACTCTGAGGGATTTATCTTGTTTTATTTTGAAGGAGAAGTTTTGTAGTTTTCTAAAGCTCTTTCATAGCTGAGAGCTTGGGAGGGACATTTCTAAGGGATGAAGGCCTGGAGTTGGTCGGTGCATGAGGAAGGTTGCGGGCAGGAGATGGTGGGGTCGCTGGGCATTGGCCTTTTAAAGCCTGACACTAAGTTTAGTCCTGTGCTTGCTGATGGGTACAGTCAGCTGAAGAAACACGCTTAGCACGCAAACCCTGACCTTTGCATTTTCCCTTCCATGCAACAGGGTGAGCGTGGACCTCCCGGTGTGAATGGGACACAGGGTTTCCAGGGATGCCCTGGGCACAGAGGAACCAAGGTACGTGCAGAAGCAGCCTTCCTGGACCAGACCCAGAGTCCAGTTGGTGAGAGTGCACCAAGGGCAACTCCTGCTGCTTTAGGATGTCACACAAGAGCTGCTGCATCCACCTGAGTGGTGGTGTCCTCCTGGCCAATCACCAAGGCTTCCAGCTGGTGTCATGGCTTTAGCTTTGCTATTGAAGAACAGAAGGGCAGCCTCATGACCAAGGCTCAATCTGCAAACAAGGCTGATCTATTTTGTGCAGGCTCTACAGGACAGATGTGAGAAGAGATGGGTTTGTTCTGAGCACCAAGAAATGTGTGTTTTGGCTCAGGAGTGGGATGGTGTGTGGATGGAAATCTGTTGAGGAGGAGGGAGAAAAGTGAGCCATGGCTGCTGTTTTAAAGAGGAACCTTGAGCAAATGGTTCAGGACAGCAGCCAAAAGCCAGAAAAGGTAGTGAAATCTGTAATATTTATGGGAAATATTCATCGATGTTAAGGGGATGTTTCCTACCATTTTCCCTGACCACAGGATCCTCTGACAGGCCACAGGGGAGTGCATGAACCAAGCCCATTGCACCTGAGATACTGAGTTTCTTCAGAAAGCTGCTCAGCCTTGGACAAAGGCACCAGGACTGGATCTGGATTCATATAAAAATAGGGGCAGGGAGAAAAGGAAGTCAGTGGAGCAAGAATTGTGGCTAAGGAGTAAGCTGGTTTATTGGATCAGCTGGCTAAACCCCATTTTATCTTGGCATGAGTGTTGAGGAGGCAGCTGAGGAAGACAGAGAAATAAGGGACAGCCGAACCCTGGTGCAGCAAGCCCTGCTCTCGTGGCATGGTCCTGGCTCTGGGTCTGCCCGCAGGCCTAGTCCCCCTGTCCCACTGCTTCCCACAGCGGTGAACTGGGCAAAAGTGGAGTAACTCCCTTTTCTGGTCTCTTCAGGGTTCTCGGGGATTCCCAGGAGAGAAGGTATGGAGCTATCTCCTCATGCCACAGCAGTGAGTGTGAGCATATGGACAGTGTCCTCCTCCCTGTGCCCCCTTCCCACAGTGAGCATTTGCCCCTTGCCTCTCTTCCACAGGGTGAACTGGGAGAAATGGGTCTGGATGGCATCGATGGAGAAGAGGTTAGTGCTTTTGTTTTGTTTATAATGAGATATTCTGGTGAAGCATCTGAGGGATGCCTTGAAAGCAGCAAATATCCTGAGGTGTTTTTCTTTCCTAGGGAGACAAAGGTCTGCCTGGCTCCTCTGGAGAGAAGGGATACTCCGGAAGGAGGGTAGGCTCTTACCACGGTTACAGCGGGGCTAAATGGTGGTGAAAAAGAGGATTTGGGCCGGAGGGGGGATGGAAAGCTCCCGTGCTCTCCTCAGGGCAGAGGTACTGAAGGTAGGCAAGGCCTGCGTTTTGCTGACTCGCTGTCTCCTCCCGCAGGGTGACAAGGGCGTTAAAGGCGAGCGAGGAGAACGCGGTGATCGTGGGCTCCGTGGAGACCCGGTAAATAAATACTGCTGAGGTATTTGCTTGGGTCCCCATGCACTTTCCACCAGTCCTGGGCTCATCAGCAAGCATGCACTCAGGCTTAGAAATGCCACTGAACAGTGACAGGCCCAGCAACAGAGCACGGACTCAGAGGTGGTGTGTGTAACACAGGCCTCTTGGCACCAACCTGTCAGTCAGTTTCCTTCTATTGAAATCCTCCTTCATCCTCTCTTTCAATGTGATCATTTCTCAGCTGAAAAGCTGTGTCTGTCTGAAAGCAATAATATTTTATCTAATTCGGTCAAAAAGGAAAAGAAAAGTTGGTTCTGAGCCATGGCAGAGCAGTTTGATGCCTGATTTCCATGTCCCACTTAAACAGATGTTTCTCATTGCTGTATTGCTTTCAGGGGGATTCAGGAGTCGATAATACTCAACGAGGAACCAGAGGCCAAAAGGGTGAAATTGGACAAATGGTAAAGTTTCTTTGTTGTCTTTTCTGATTTTGACTTTTACAATAGGATAGGACAGAGAAAATAAGAAGAAAGGATGTTACCAAAAAGGTGCAGGGTTCCTCAACCCGTCGGGCCTTGCCAGGAGGAATACTTTTCCATGAGAAAGAGTTGTTTTGCAACCTTTCTTTGGGAAGATGCGAGCTTAGAAGATGTTTTGTGTGAGAAGCTATCATTATTATTTTTATACAATGCCTTTGGGGATGTTGTCACTGGAAACAAGTTTGTACTTGGAAATTGACTTCATATGTTCCTGTGGGTCTGAACACAGAAGTGTTCAGGTGATAACAGACCTGATACGAGTCCTCATTCACCTGGAACCTTTGGGAAAAAGCTTCACACACTTGGAAAACATTCAAACCCCATTGTTTTCTTACCAGCTCATAATAAAAATTTATCCTAAATGACCGGAGACATTTACCAAAGAACTGGAATGTTGGCTTGTGCTAGCTCAGAAACTGGATGTAAAGTCTCTGTGAGCTGTTAGAAGGATTTCCACTGATGTGGGAATATTGAGTAACTTGTGTGAGAGCGTGGAAGATCAGTTGTGTGAGACTTAAACCTATTTCCCCAGTGCTGTTCATCTCAGGGCTCTCACTTAAATTTTGCTTCCCCCTTAGGGAGAGCCAGGACCAGTGGGGCTGGATGGCCAGGATGGTGAAGTCGGAAGGCAGGTGAGCTCCAGACCCCCACTTAGAAGGGGCCTAGCTTAAACCAACAATGACATTTTCCCTCCTGCCTTCCCATGTGTTTTGTTTCACAGCTATCAGGATTTTTACCTAAATAAAACCCTGGACAAATAAAAAACCCCAAGAAAACTCAAAAGGAAAATGCCTGTTTTTTTCCCAGCCTATACACTTTAAAGGTCTAATCTGGGTTATTCCCATTCAAGTAACTCATGTGAACCAGTGAAGCTACATCTGACTCTGGCATGGGCATCTGGCATGCAGGTGTGAGGGAGCAACTCACCTTTGTGGTGAAGAGTTGGGGATGCAAGGAAGAAGAGAACATGCTCTGATACAGGACAGTTCTCTACCTCTCTCCCCGGTAGTTTAAACTATTCAAATGTAATTTTGGACTAAGAGAAGTAGCAATACATGGATCTAAAAGCAAAGAGAAATGTATGCTTATGTACTTGAGTAACACATCTCATTGTTTCTTTCATCTGCAGGGTATGGCAGGACGAAGGGGACCAATAGGAGTTAAGGTAAGTGGTAATGGGAGCAACACATGGGGCTCCTGCCATGCCACTGGCCAGGCAGCCACAGTACCCAGAGACATGCTAAGAGAGATACAGGCTTTGCTTCCTTCTGTCTCCTCTCTTCTCCCAGTTTTTCCCCTCTTCCTCAGGCTCATCTCCCTGTATGCTCCTTGCTGGATTCAGTGCAAACCCAGCCATCCATGTGCCTGGGGCTGCCCATCCTCTGCAGTGTTCCTTGGCCAGATGCTTTGTCTCAGCTTGCTGCTGGAGTAGCGTAATGGGGCCAAAGCATAAAGGAGATTGATGCCCGCTGCTTGCAGGAGGTGAATTAACCCACCAATTCTGTGCTTATTCTCTGCTATAACCATATCCTGAATAAACATCCCAGACAGCTGTCCTTCCCTGCTCTTTATGCAGCTATAAATGCCCTGAGATCTCCTGAGCTTCTCCTTGGTGTTGACCACATTTCCCCCATGCTAACCTGCATTGTCCTGTTTTGCACTTCAAGGGTACCAAGGGCTCGCCTGGTCAAGCGGGACCAGCTGGAGAACAAGGCATGAGAGGGCCACAGGTCAGTAAGCTTATAGCAAAGGAAATGTTTTACCTTGTGATGCTGTTGCATTATTTCATCACAGCCTCTTCCTCAAAGAGTCTCAGTAGTGAGGACTGTTGGGATTTGGGTATTTTTGGGTGTACTGTGGCCTGGCTGTCTTGCCCACAGACATCGAGCCATCCTGTTCATACCACCCAAGCTGTGACATGTTTGACAACCGTCTCTCTGGTGCTGTAACATTTGCTTTCCCTTGCGACCTGGGATAGCACCGATGTGTTTCTGCCCATGTGACACAGCCTCTCTTTTCTCCCCACACAGGGTCCTCCTGGCCAGCTTGGCACACCAGGCATCAGAGGAGAACAGGGTGTTCCTGGACCCAGGGTAAACCCTTTTGCTGCTTCTCAGCCATTGACCCAGCTATACTCAGCAAGAACATCTCACTGAGCTAATAAGATGCCACCAACGTGCCTTCCCATTCCCTTTAGGAACCCACTAGTTTTCCAACTCTGTTTAACTCTCTTATAACACACTCTTCCAGTATGATTCTTCTCTCAGCTTATGCTAAAGAGCTCTTGATCAAGAGTTACAGAAGAGTTCAAAGCAAACACAAAGGGGTAGGACTTCATCGTTTGGCCCATGATGGTTTGTGATCTTAACTAAAGCCTGAAATGACTTGCAGGACATGTCTGATGCCAGAGCACAACCATCTTGAGTGCTTGCTGGGGCCACCCATGCATTCATTTCTCCCTTCTGCTGCATACTCCAGCAAGACTTGAGGCCATAAGGCCAGGCACATCCTGAATTTCCCCATCCTGAGCAGGACTTTGCCCCTCCTGTTTGCACCTTTCCCAGGGAGGTTCTCTAGGGACAGTGTAAGTCACTGTTAACTCTTGCACTGAACTGACCTGGTTGTTCAGCTCTTCCCAATTAGACTTCTGAACTTCCTAGGGTGCTTTGAGAGGCACCAGCCCTGTTAGTTAATACACGACTTCTATGGTCACCCAATACCCTAGTTTCTGGCACCCAGTATTGCTGACATATTGCCAACATGCCTCTCCCTGTCTCCATTCCAGGCTGGTGGTGGACCTCCAGGAAGCCCAGGAGAGCGGGGCAGGATTGGTCCCCTGGGATTAAAGGTTTGTCTTCACGGGTATTGGGTATCAGCAGCTAAAACGGTGATGAAAAGCCTCTGGATAGGAGTGATCTTAAATATACTTCAGATGAACCCCTTGAAGCAAAATTAGCTCATTTTCACTGGCTTGCACAGTGCAGAGTAGAGCAGGGTCTGTGCTCTGGTTGTTTCATTAGGCTTCTCTTTCACTGAACAGAGTGGGAAAAGTAATTGAGTAACTGAACTTTCCAAGTAATTTTTCAGGGCAAATTCTCAGCTGATGCCCACATAGGAAGGTGGGTGCTGGATCTCTCCAGACTTTCTGTAGGTGAAACCATGTGGTTTATGTTTTACCTCTCCACACTCACACGCACTGGTTCATTTCCATGGCAGCTCCACTGTCCTTTTGCACTGGCAAGACCTCCAGAGCTTGGGAGCTTCCCTTTTCCAGTGTTGGTGAAAAGCAAACCCAATCCTGTGGTGGGAGCTGGCTGGTCTCTGGCGTCCCACTAAAGAGCAAGTGTTCTGTAGGATTACTGCCTATGTAGGTCCAGTCATGACTTTCTTCTGCAAGGACAACTGCAGACTGGTCTGTATAAGGAAACCAGTGCTGATGGTGTGGGAAGGTCTTAGAGTTGCCTGGAGTTTCAGCACATGCTCTAACAGATGCTCCTGTTTTCAGGGTGAGCCTGGAAACCCTGGACCCAAAGGGGCAAATGGACAGCAAGGCCCACGAGGAGAGATGGTAAGTGTGGCCATGAACTCACATCTTTAAGGATGCTGGGCTGAACCTTTTCCTGTGGTAAAAGGGGCACAGCCCTTTCCAGCAGAGGTTTTAGCTTGCTATGGGCTTTGCATCCTACATAGCTCAACTGAGAAAGAGAAACCAGCTTTATGTCTTAAGCTGGTGTGAGCAGAGTTTATAACAGCAGTATCTTCAAGGAGGTAAATTGTATTAATTTGAAAAGTGACTTTTCCCATCTCAGAGATCACCCCTAGTTTTGACTGACCTCCTAACCTGCTCCTCATTGCTGACTTCTACCTGGGTTATCATGTATATACTAAGCAATTTTAATTCAAATTTGTAGTTTCAGCCCCACCTTTTTGTGCTGTTTTTCTTGCAATAATTTCATCTATAGAAGCACTTCTCAAAGTCTGTGGCATAAATGGGTTCTGATTGGGTATTGATGGTGCTGGATCTGTGAGTCTTGATTCTCATTCAATGCATATTAATAGCTTTGTTTTTCCAATTTTAGGGTGATGATGGACGAGATGGAATTGGGGGCCCAGGTCCTAAAGGCAGAAAGGTAGGTGTATGCTCAGTGTGCCCACAGGTGTATGCACATGTGCCCAACACGAGTTATCATGGACAAGGAAGTAGCTCATGTCTGCAGTGCAGATGGGCAAGGGCAGTCAAATACATACAGGGACAAGAAGTGAAGTCAAATACATACAGGGACAAAAATCAGACCTGTGTGTACCCTGATAAAAAAGTCAGTCAAGATACTTAAAACCTTTCCCCTATGCCTTTGTCGTAGTTTTGCCTACATAGATCAGATTCTCCAAGGAGGAAGCACAATGTTTGTGAACCTTTTGGGCAGATATCCCCATAATTGTCTGTGGGACTTGGAAAACAATGCTCCAGCATCTCTGGCAGCTCTCCTACAGTTGAAATTAGCCCGGGAGGGGCAGCCAGACCTTGAAAAGAGTGGCTGCTTTCTTTGTATTAATCATATGTGGAACGAAGTTGCACACTGAATTTGCAGTCTCGCTCCCTTTTTCCTTCATCACTTAATCCCTGCAGCTGGTACACATATCCCTGCAGAACCCTCTTAATTTGCTAAACCATATTCAAATAAACCTTTCTGTTGTTTCAGGGAGAACGTGGCTTCATCGGCTACCCAGGGCCCAAGGTATGGTGCAGATCATGAGCTGTGCATTCATTCTCCAAGTGATGTAGCAATTACCTGTGGTCCTGTGCAGGTTTAGAGCTACCATTTGTGTTTCTCCCTGACCAGGGTGGACCTGGTGATCGTGGTGTTGCTGGAGGCCCTGGCCCTAAAGGAAACAGAGGCCGCAGAGTAAGTGGGACCATGGCACCTTCCCTTGTGCATGGACAGCCTGGAAGATGTGTACATCTTTTCTAAGCGTTGACACATGCTCCTGGGATTTCTCTGCTCTTTCTTTCTAGGGAAATTCAGGAGAACCTGGGTCACCTGGTCAGAAAGGAGAGATTGGATACCCTGGACCATCTGTAAGTGTTCATTGCATTGCTGAAGGAGCCTCTCGCTTCCCACTTTGAGAGGTTCTTGGTTGCTTCCCTGAGAAATGTGGTAGGCCCTGTTGGTGTCAGGGGTTGAAAAACATGCCCTTTGCCATCTCCTGATTTCAAGTTGGGCAAATTCCTCTTTTATTTGTCATGGATGTGTCTGTATAAATTCCTAACTAGCTGTTTTATAACTGATAAATATTCACCCCTCCTCAAATTGCAGTGCACTGCAGAAGGCAAAACCCAATAGACAGGCTCTTATCAGGAACTGGGGTTTCCCCATGGCAAATATGCCACCTCATACTCCTTCTAGGAAGTTCTCAGCTCTTTGTCATTTATCGTCCCTCACAGGACGTGGTCTATGACCAAATGTGATTGGCACAGAGCACCCTTGAAAGGGCAAGGTGACTTGGCTTGCTTTGCGCATGAACCTGGAGCATTGTAAATGTCCCATTTGGGTTTGACCTCAGCTAGGTTTACTCCTCACATGGGGAAACATGTGAGGAAACACCTGAAAACAAGCAGGTTTTCTCTTAGCTTCTCCATGAGCCATTGTTAAGTAATTATTCCAGCTGGGTACAGGGGGCCCCTGAAAATACACATTGCACTCAGTTTCTCTTTATTTCATTTAAACAGGGACTTAAGGGTGATAAAGGAGAATCCAGAGACGTAAGTGTGGCATAAGTTCCTTATTGTACTGAAATATTCTTTTGTTGGCTGTGTCACAGGTCTCTTTTTTTCTCCTTTTCTCTCCCTCTTTCATTTTATTTTCTAAAGCAATGTGCGCTTGTGCGGAACATCAAAGACAAATGCCGTGAGTACATCAGTGCTTTGCTAAATCCCCGTCTCTACCCTTGTGTGCCTGTCATGTTACACAAATGGCACTGACCAAACTCCTTTCCTTCCTTACCTTTCCCACAGCTTGCTGCTATGGTAAGTCATCTTCAATCCCAGTGTGACTGTGTGCCACAATTGCTCTCTCCACGTATGTGGTATGAATGGTTTATCCCTGCTGAGGACACCGTCCTTGCACCCTGCCAGCTATCTGGGGCACTGTTTGTTCCCAACACACATTTCTGGCAGGTCCCAAGGAGTGCCCTGTCTTCCCAACCGAGCTGGCCTTTGCTATCGACACCTCCTCGGGTGTCGTGAGGGAGGTTTTCAACAGGATGAAGCAAACCGTGCTCAGAGTGGTCAACAACTTAACCATTGCTGAAAGCAACTGTCCTCGAGGTGCCCGGGTGGCTCTGGTCACCTACAACAATGAGGTCACCACCGAGATCCGCTTTGCTGATGCCAGGAAGAAATCAAGCCTCCTCCAACAGATCCAAAACTTCCAGGCGACCCTGACCACGAAGCCGCGCAGCCTGGAGACCGCCATGTCCTTCGTGGCCAGGAATACATTCAAACGTGCCCGAAGCGGCTTCCTCATGAGGAAGGTGGCTGTCTTCTTCAGCAACGGGGATACAAGAGCCTCCTCGCAGCTCAACGATGCTGTGCTCAAACTCTACGATGCCGGGGTCATGCCAGTGTTCCTAACCAGCAGACAGGACCCGGTTCTCACCAGAGCTCTGGAGGTTGGGGGTCATGCACCTTTCTTTTTCATTTCTGGCTTATGAGCTCAGTCTGATTTGCTGGGGACCTTGAGAGTGTTTGCTTCTACAGGCAGTGGGTTGCTTCTGCAGTCTTTTCAGGTGCTTTGTGCTGAGAACGTGTTGCTGAGCAAACTCACCCAGCAAGAAGTTCTTCCCTATGAGGGTGCTGAGGAGCTGGCACAGGGTGCCCAGAGAGGCTGTGGCTGCCCCATCCCTGGCAGTGTTCAAGGCCAGGTTGGACACAGGGGCTTGGACCAACCTGCTCTAGTGGAAGGCGTCCCTGCCCATGGCAGGGGGGTTGGAACTGGATGAGCTTTAAGGTCCCTTCCAACACAAACCATTCTATGGTTTTAACTCTGTTAGGAGGGAAATTCAAACCACAGCACATGCTGTGAAAGGCTACTGAGGCTGTGATGATCATTAGTTTCCCAGATCATGAGTCCAGCAAGCCAGGTGTGGTGTGAAACAGAAGTAAAGACAGTCCCCATAGTAATAAAGGTCTGACAGAAAGGCAGAGGGTGGGAAGTACATTAGCTTTGCTGGCAGAGGGAGAGTGGATGCACTGAGTTTTAAAATATGAGCATGCTGAGCACTGGTTCAAGTGCTTGACCCTTGGAGTTTTATGTTTCCAAACTATTCTCACTAACTGTGAGGAGGCATTACAGTCTTCCAAATGGGATCCACCAAAAGAAGCATGCTGAGTAGAGAATCTCTTAGAGTTTTGGATTGCCCTCCCCTGCTCCGAGCTGAAAACAACAGAAGGCATCATTACTAACACCATGTTTTTCTGTTTGCATCTAACCAGATCAACAACACAGCAGTTGGACATGCAATTGTTCTGCCTACCAGTGGCAGTCAGCTGAATGAAACTATCCAGAGGCTCTTGACTTGTCACATTTGTCTGGGTAAAGCATCCAATTTCTCCTTTAGACAGTGCCAAATCCTTCTGGTCACGCAGCAGTCGGTTGTCAGTGGTGCCGAAGGGAAGCCCAGTTGGGAGTCAGCTCTTTTGATGCTGAAGACAAGGGATTCTTATTCTTAGGCTGAGCAGGAAGCACTGGCATTGTGAATGAGGCTTGCTGGGCATTCTCCTCTGTGTGAAGAGAAGCTCCTTTCTTTTGGTGATTCCTAGTTTTACAGCACAAATAGCAATAGCTAAATGCTATAGAATATGGCCTTCTGCCATTTATGACAGAGTACTACAGGGATCCCTTTGGACAAAGGAGCATGTAAAAATAGTAAATGCATACTTAAGTGTGTTTTGGGATAAAATGACTTTGGTGTCAAGTAATGGACCAGTGAATGGTCAAGGCGTGGTAGCATTTCATATGATACAAGATCTTTACAATGACAGGAGGGTTATCTTCAGTTCCTCCAGGTTAAACCTGTTATTTTTCTTCCCTAGATGTGTGTGACCCTGATCCCATCTGTGGTAATCAGAGACCTGTATTTAGAGACAGAAGGGCAGCTCCAACAGATATAGACACCGACATAGCTTTCATCATGGATAGCTCAGAGTCCACCACCCCTCTGCAGTTCAATGAGATGAAGAAGTACATTTCCCACCTTGTAAGTAACCTGGAAATCAGCTCTGAGCCAAAAATATCTCAGCACCATGCAAGAGTGGCAGTTCTCCAGCAAGCTCCTTATGAACATGAAACCAACTCAAGCTTCCCACCCGTAAAAACTGAGTTTTCACTGACTGATTATGGGTCCAAAGAGAAGATCATCAATTACCTGCACAACCAAATGACCCAGCTCCATGGCACAAGGGCTATAGGAAGTGCAATTGAACACACAGTGGCTCATGTTTTTGAAAGTGCACCAAACCCTCGGGATATGAAAGTCATAGTTCTGATGATGACTGGAAAAGTGAATGAACAAGAGCTTGAGTACCTGCAGAAGGTTGTTACCAGTGCAAAATGCAAAGGGTACTTCTTTGTTGTCTTGGGCATTGGCAGGAAGGTGGATGTTAAGAATGTCTATAGCCTAGCTAGTGAGCCAAATGATGTGTTCTTCAAATTGGTCGATAAACCAGGAGAGCTTCATGAGGAGCCCTTACTGCGCTTTGGGAGACTGCTACCTTCTTTCATTAGAAGTAAGTATCACATCCTGCAGCCAAAGTGTTATGGAAGGGGCAACATGTGATTTCATAGGGGTTAATCTGCCAGGTTTGGTCTACCTGCCTGGTTGTGTGGGCTCTGGCCTGACCACCTCTTTGGGCAGTGGGTCCCATGAAGTTAAGTCTCTTTTTATATGTTCTGTACTGTCTGGTCTGTTTGTTGCTGCTCATAGGTCTGCTTAGTTGAGTATGTCTGGGTTTTGTTCACTGTTGACTTCCTAGCCCATCCTGTGCATTCTGCTGGCCTGCCAAGTAGCGTGTGCAGTTCTGTCTTGTTTGACTTAATCCTGTCTGGCTTGCCAGTCACATTTTCAACATGTCCTGTTCGTCTGGTCCTGCTGGGGCTCTTGGTCCTCTGCAGCCTGCCAGCACTCCCCCTGCACTCCCTGAACACCCAGCAAATCTTTCTTCCCAACTTCAGCATAAGTATCATGTCTAGCAGACACCTGAATGGCTCAGGCTGAAATCTGGAGTTGCTCTATGCAGATTTAAGGACCAGATGAACAGAATTCTTTGCTCAGGGACTAACAACGCTGCTGTGTTCGGGACTGTGCCTAGAAAACTTCCATCTTGGCTTAGCTACAAAGCCTGGGTTGGATCTCCAGCTACAGCCAACTGCTGGAGATCTTATATAGACCGGGCCAGCAAGGACAAGACTTGGGCCTTTATTAAGAAAGCTAGTCTTATCAAAAAAGCCCTGAAAACCAGTCTACTGGAGTAATAACCCACTGATTCAGGAATGTCTTGCACTAAATAAGAAGGAAGCCTGAACACATCTTTCCCTGGAATAAATGTTTATGTTTTCTCAGTTTGCTTTTTCCATTTACTGCTTACAGGGATGCTGGAAAATTCTGATGTTAAGCGTGTAGTTAGAAGTGCCTGGTTGTAACCAAGTGTTCACATGTGACACGCATACACCCTCTGGTA